GAGGATGAGGTCCAACCTCGTCTCACTTCTTTCTCCTGCCTGTTGCTTGCTCTCAGGACTTCCAGCACAGCAGGGCTGATGGCAGGAAGCACGGCTGACCTCAGCGAAGGTCCTCCACCCGGGGGGGTTTTCTCCTACAGCCGCCTGAGCGAGCTGCTGCTGCTTGGCATGAGTCCCAAAAGATCACATTTTTGGCAAGAGAGGAGAAGCTGAGAAAGGGAGGGAGGTGGTGGCTGCTTTTGGGAAGGGGTTGGATGGAGGAGGTGGGGAAGCTGCTCGAGTAGGTCATGAGCAAAGTCTGGGTCTCCTGATGCCTCTCTACTTCATGGTAAGGCGTCTCCCAAAGTTTGCAGCCTCCTTCATCAGCAGGGGAGTAGAGGGATGCTGGCACCCAGGGCACAGTTAGGCTTTGCAGACAGGGAAGAAGCCTTGAGGAGTTCAGGAACATGACGGGGGGTCCCAGGGCGGCAGTGGAGAAGGGTGGAGGAGAAGGGAATAAAGAGGGATTTCCCTACCAAAGGCTGAGGATCACAGACAAATGGACCATGCAACAGCTTGACCCAGCAACTGTGAGCTGGGACAGCAAACACACTGCCTTCTGGCCTGGAAAATGAAAGCCCATCACACTTTCTGAGACCCAGCTCCACCAGCACTTTGGTGGAGTTGTTTTCTTCACAGCAGTGTGGAAATGGTGCCAGTGACTGCCTTCGGCTCGATGCTCTGCTGGGTGGTGCTAGCTTCTATGATGGCCCCTCAAGGCCAATGTCTTCATCACCCAGAGGGAAAAATCTCACTCCTCGTGAAGGAAAAACAACATTTCCCTTGTGGGTGATGAAGATGGCTTTGCCAGCAGCTCCGTCGCATCAGCTGATGTTGAATTACATTGCAGCATGGAGGTCAAAATACTTTTTCTCCTTTTTACACCAGCTGAGCACCCATCCTAGGCAAACACAAGCAAGAACTGAAGAGAAGAAATAAAGCTTCAGGGCTGGGTTCTCAGGTTGCCTAATGCGGTGGTTTCACCATGCCATCATCCTGCTGAATCATAGAATCATAGAATCATAGAATTGCCCAGGCCAGAAGGGACCTCCAAAGGCCATCCAGTCCCACCCCCCCGCAGTCAGCAGGGACACCCCCAACTAGACCAGGTTGCCCAGGGCCTCGTCAAGCCTCTCCTTGAATATCTCCAGGGATGGGGCCTCAACCACCTCCCTGGGCAACCTGTTCCAGTGCTCCACCACCCTCACAGTGAAGAACCCTCTCCTCATCTCCAATCTAAATCTGTTCCCCTCCAGCTTTGCCCCATTGCCCCTCGTCCTGTCACTACAGGCCTTTCTAAACAGGTTCTCCCCAGCCTTCCTGTAGGCTCCCTTCAGGTACTGGAAGGCTGCTATTAGGTCTCCCCGGAGCCTCCTCTTCTCCAGGCTGAACAACCCCAGCTCCTTCAGCCTGTCCTTGGTTGTGCTGTCTGAGACCTTATATAGAGCATTTTGCAGGAAACTGAGAAGAAACAGGTTGCCCAGAGAAGCTGTGGCTGCCCCATCCCTGGAGGGGTTCAAGGCCAGGTTGGAGGGGGCTTGGAGCAACCTGGTCTGGTGGGAGGTGTCCCTGCCCATGGCAGGGGGTGGGACTGGATGGTCTTTAAGGTTGGTCCCTTCCAACCCAAACCATTCTATGACAAAACCTCTCAGGCTCCAGCACCCACTGGCACGCCCGGGGCAAGAGATGGAGTAATCCCAACCATGCTGGCATTGATGGCCAGGTGAACCACAGCTGCCTTTGGTGCGTGAAGGCCTTGTTAATATTAACGAGGTTATGCAATGCAGCCTACCCCTCAGGGCATGCGGTAGATCGTTAGGGGATTTTTAATTAGTGGTCACTGCAAAGCCCTCCTCCTTAGGAGTGGTTAATTCATGCAGCAAAACCTCACCCGCAGGGACCACGCAGGTCTATGTAACATGCAGCTATGGGTCAGGGCTATATTTGTACCTGTGTATACACATATGTATATATATCTTTACCCCTCCCTTTTCCCGATGCAGTGAATTGGGTTGTTTGACATGGCAGTCAGTATATATTTCCCAGCAGTTACAAGAAGAATGAGCTTTGCTGGCCATACAAGCCTGGAAAGGAAGGGGCTGGCTGATCCGGTCTTTTCAGGTATGCACCAGAAAAATGAAAAATGGGCAAACCCTAGAAGGAAACCATGGTTAACTACAACGTCACGCTGATCCACGGCCATTCCCAGAGGCTTTTGTGCCTTGTCTGCAACAGTGTGTGACCTCTTCCTAAATTAGCTACAGGCCTGAATCCGGGCTTTCCTGTCTCCTCCTGTATTCAGGCAGTGGAATAAGAGGGAAAAGGGTGAGAAAGATGAAAGGGTCAGGTAAAATTGATGTAAACTTTTAGGAGAAAGTTCTTTACTGTGAGGGTGGTGAAGCTCTGTAACAGGTTGCCCAGGGAGGTGGTTGAGGCCCCTTCCCTGGAGATATTCAAGGTGAGGCTCGACAAGGCCCTGGGCAACCTGGCCTAGTTGGGGGTGTCCCTGCTGACTGCGGGGGGGTTGGACTAGATGACCTTTGGAGGTCCCTTCCAACTTAGACAATTCTATGATTCTACGATTCTACTCTAAAGCTAAAAAGTGCCAAAAAAAGCCACCCAGGTTGATCCAGATGGGTTCAGAGCAGTTGTTGACCCTTAGTGTTTAAATGCAACAGACAGAGGCCCTGGTGGGAGGTGGGACTAGAGGCAAAAAGGTATTTGGGTGCTTGATGAACTAATTAAACAGACTGAAGGGAGGCACAGATGTAAATGTGCTTATGCAGGGCAGGTATCAGCAGGGGAGGAGCAGACCCTCTGTCTCTGAGAAGAAGAGGGCACCTTGCAGAGTTTGCAATAGGTTTGAACGCTGCTGGGCTGGACTGGGGGCAAACCAGCCTTGGGATGCAAGAAGCACCCTGCAGATGAAGCAACCTTGGCAGTGGAGGTAGCAGAGACCCTGGGGTGGGGATGGAAAGTGCTCACGGGCTTGGGGATGCCACTGGCTGCAGTACCAGCATTACTGGCTCCACCCTGTGCAACCCCAGACAACTCCTGGGGAACCCTGTGATTGCTCCAGCATCAAAAGAAAAAGAAAAAGATGAGAACAGGATCATTCTATCCCAGGAGACACACAGGCAGGACAGAAAGTGTCTCCCTGAGGCTTTTGGTTAGAAAACCCTGGGTGCAGGGCTGGCTCAGCCTGGCAGCCCCTTGCCCATGCCACCATCACCCTGTGCACCTGCTGGGAGCCACCCACTTGCAAACAACATTTTGGGGGACTGAAATTAGGGGGAAAAAAGCTTGGGTACTCTTTCTGCTGCAAACAGGCAGTGATAACCACTGCCTGCTTTTCTTCTGAGTTAGCAGAGGAGAGACTGGGAAAGCTTGAGTTTCTTGTGGCCAAGGAGGCCAATGGCAGCCTGGGGGGCATCAAGAAGAGTGTGAGCAGCAGGTGGAGGGAGGTCATCCTGCCCCTCTGCTCTGCCCTGGGGAGGCCCCATCTGCAGCACTGGGTCCAGTTCTGGGCTCCCCAGTTCCAGAAGGACAGGGAACTGCTGGAGAGGGGACAGCAGAGGCTACAGAGATGATGAGGGGCCTGGAGCATCTCTCTGATGAGGAGAGGCTGAGGGACTTGGGTCTTTTTAGTCTGGAGAAGGCTGAAGGGGGATCTGATCAACACCTATAAATACTTCAAGGGTGGGTGTCAGGAGGATGGGGCCAGTCTTTTTTCAGTGGTGCCCAGGGACAGGACAAGAGGAAATGGGCACAAACTGGAACATAAGAAGTTCCACCTAAACCTGAGGTGGAACTTCTTTGCTGTGAGGGTGGCAGAGCCCTGGAAGAGGCTGCCCAGGGAGGTGGTGGAATCTCCTTCTCTGGAGACATTCAAACCCACCTGGACACGTTCCTGTGGGACCTGCTCTGGGTGGACCTGCTCCAGCAGGGGGTTGGACTAGATGATTCTCCAGAGTTCCCTTCCAAAGCTGTATCATTCTGTGATTCTGTGATTCTTGCACCATACCTGCAGTTACTCAGCGTCTCCCTGAGTTGCCTGACCCTGTTTGTCCCCATCTTGGGAGACCAAAATTAGCGTCAGGCTGTGCAGGAGGCACGGGCAGGGCGGTGGGGTGGCCGGGAGGTACGTTGCTACTGTACACAGCACACCCAGCAACGCACCAGCACCGCTCTGCTCCGTGTCCTGGGGCCCTCAGCCTCTGCCAGAGCCCCATCCAAACACATGGTAAGTGGCCTTGCAGCAAAAAGGTTTTGTGGTGTTTTGTTTTTTTTTTTAATTTTTAAAATTAAATATCTTATAAGCAGCTTGTGGGGGAAAGTGTAACATGTGGGGCAGCAGAAAATCCCTAGCTAGAGACTAAGAACAACAAAGGTCTGTTTCGCAGATTTAAAACTGGGTATTTGAAATAGAATTGTTTAATTATTGTTTAGGACACAGCCAGAAAAATGAGCAAACGCCTCCTCTGGACATGATCTGGGTTTAGGTCAGAGCAGGGCACCGCGGAAGGCAGCGGGGTTGTGATATTGAAGTGTTTGCTGAGTATTGTTTGAAAACAGGCTGAATCCCTTTCCTTCAAACAGGTAAGCTCGGGAGGGATTTACAAGTTCATTGAGAAGGGGTTATTGCAAAGAGCTGTGATGTGACAGTTTCACAAGTCTCCCTTAACAAGAGCAGATGGTGAACAAACTGGCAGATTTTTTTTATTTTTTTTTTTTCTGGCAGAATTTGGCAAGGCAGTAGATAGCAGTTCTAGATGAGGGGGGAAAAAGGAGGGATTTGTAGTTTGCTGCCACATAAGATAAGCTCTGACACACTCCCCGATGCCTGCAGGCTGGTGGGGACGGCAGCAGAGCCATGGTCTCAGCCCTAACACATCCCTTCTGCCTTCCAGCCCTTTTTGGCAGGTATTTGCCACCCGCTGCCCCAGCCCGGGGTTGCCAGCATGCCGGGGGCATCCCCAGGACTCACCATCCCCGTGGACATCCCTCCTTTCCGCTTCCAGCCCCGCCGGCTCCCCGTGGACTGGCGTCGCTTCAGCGCCGTCGACGTGGAGCGGGTGGCCCGGGAGGTAGACCTGGCAGCCCTCCAGGACCATCATCTTCTGCAACCTGGATGGGGAGCGGTGCCCCCACTGTGGTCAGCCGGCTGACCCCGTCCTGCTGAAGGTCCTCAGGATGGCCCAGCTGAGCATGGAGTACCTGCTGCATTGCCAGGAGCACCTGGGGACCAGCCTGGCCCTGCACGCCCAACGCCTAGAAGATGCCCACGCCAAGCTGGCTTGCACCCAGCAGCAGGCAGCGGAGCAGGAGGCCCAGCTCCGGGCGGAGAAGGAGGAGAGCAGGAGGTGGAAGAAGCTGCTCGCCACGCAGCAGATCCTCCTGCAAGCCGGCCCCAGCGCCTACTGCAAGGTGTGTGGTAGAAAAGGGTCAGGGCATCCCAGTGTAGGATGCTCGTTGCTGCATCCTTGCCTTTGTAGACCTTGTTCCCAGGAAAAGGTGCTGGCTCATCACCTTCATGGAGACTCCAAAGTCTGTGCTCCCTTTTTTTTTTGTGTGTGCTGACTACAGGTCGTCACAGCCCCACGGAGTGTGGGAGAGGGGGTTTCTGTAGAGCGTTGGCTGGAGAGATCTCACAAAATCCCCGTATCCTGGGGGATTCCTTGTAGTCCAGGGAGACTTTAAACATGCTCCAGACCAGTGAAAGATGTCTGGATGCTCCTGGATTTGGTAGTAATCTTGTTCCCCCCACTCCAGGCTTTTCCCAGCCTTTCAGGGGGAACTGCTGGCTGTGCCTCTTTGTCTGCTGCTTCTCCATTTCTAAGTCAACCAGCTCACTCGTTCCTGGAGATTAAAAGCCACCCAAACCAGGTGATTTAGGTTCTACATCCCCACAAGTGCAGCTCTCCCTTCCTCCAGAGCAGGACCCTGTTATAACCAAGACCTGGTTATAACCAAGACCAGAGCAAGACCCTCTTATAACCATGACCTGCTGCTTTGGCCACCTTATTGCACTGCTTTGTTGGGTTGGTTTTTTTTCCCTAAGCAGTATCCCTGCACCATCCTGGCTTCTGCCTTCTCCTGACCCCTAAAGGGGTTTTCATTTGGCTTCAGACAGAAGAAACTCCTAATACCCTCCATCTACATGCCTCCATCATGACAGCCGCGTCTCTTCAGGTCTCACCTCTTGCTTTAAGGTGGCAAAGCTTCCTCTGCCAGATGTGGAGACCACCCTTTTCTGCAGATCCCAGTCCCTCTGCTGACTTCTCTCCCCTCTTTTCCAGTGCCACCTCTGCAACAAAGCCTTCATGAACGACTCCTTCCTGCAAGCCCACGTGCAGCGCCGGCACATGGAGGCCACCAAGGCAGGTGAGCACTGGGACAATGTCACCCTTTGCTTTCCAGACCGGGTTCTGCCCTATTGGATGGGGATGATGGAAACCAGAGAGCGACAGTAGGAGGCTAAAGACAACTTCTTGTAACTTCATGCTGCTTCTGTGCATGTTTACTGAATGCTTTCTGCTTGCTGTCTTTCCCTCAAACCCAGGTAGGACACGTGGCCAAATATGAGTCTGCGTGAGCATTTAAAGCTCATCCCTGCACCTCGGTTTCCCTAAGGATCCTCTCCACCCAGGGATTCCATGGGGATGGAGCTGCACTGGGGAGTTTGTGACAGGGTTTTGCTAAGTCAAGGAGAGGGGTTCACCTCCCCCATGCCCCTTTTTTTGGCAAGGAATGGATGCTCCTTTGCAAACTGCTTGTAAAGCTGCAGGTGCAATGTGCTGTGTGAGAGCCATGGAGCCTCCTTACAGCTTCAGCTGCAGCCAGCACTTGAACCTGGCCATTAAAAAAAAAGTGGCTTTTGCTGTTTGCTGGCAGGGTAAAAGCCCAGCCCAGGGCTGATGCAATGCAACAGGCTGAGCTTTGCTCCACAGGCACCTTCCCTGGTGCAGCCTGAAATGCCCCAGCAGGGCGCTTTGGCTGCTTGGGAGAGCAAGACCAGTGCAAAGGCACTCTGCTCTATGAGCCACTAATCTCACCAGATTTATAAAAAGTAAAATAAAAAATAATCAGAGGCCACATGGCCACATTTGCCGTGGTTTTTCCTGCAGCTCAACTACCTGCTTCTCCACCCTGGAACCCTACAGCAGGTTTTTCTCAGTGCTTTAGCAGGATTCTCTACCCCAGCCAAAGCAAAACCCCAGCCGGAGATGTCAGGTCACACCCCGGCTCATGGCACCCCTGTTTTCCTGGGCTTTGCAGAGGGGCAGAAGAGGAAGCAGGTGGAGCAAATGGAGGATGAGGTGGAGGAGCTGAAGGCGAAGCTGCAGGAGACACAGCAGCAGCTGGAAGTGGAGAGGGAAGCGGGGAAGATGCTCAGGGAGCAGGTACGGGATGGGGGCACGGCTGCCCATTTGCAAAACATGAGGGGAGGAGAAGTGATGAGACACAGAACCTCTTTAAAGCAGGGGTGAAAAAATATTTTATAGTGGGGCTTGTGTTTATTTCTTTGGAAAAAATCATCCCCGAAAATTCCCATGGGAAATGTCACATGGAAATGTGACATTTGGAATGGGTTGCCCAGGGAGGTGGTTGAGGCCCCATCCCTGGAGGTGTTCAAAAGATGGGTTGATGTAGTGCTGGGAGGTCTGGTTTAGTGATGGTGTTGCTTTTTGTTTGTTGTGCGGGTGTCTATTTTTGTCAAAGTTGGGTTGACGGTTGGACAAGATGATCTTTAAGGTCCCTTCCAACCTAGAAGATTCTGTGATTCTGTGAAATAAGGACTGTGTAACACGCCTCCCCTCGAGGCTGTGCTGCCTCGACCTCCTCGTGGTGTGCAGGCAGGCTCTGAGGAGCGGTGGGTGTAATGAGAGCATTGGTGCTCATCCCACTGGTGCCAAGGCTGAAGCACCAGCCCTTGGTGGTTCTGATCTGCAGCCAAGAAGTTTCCTGCCCTTATTTTTCCACTCTCCTTAGGAAATGGAGAGAGCTCGCCAGCGAGAAGAGGAGGGCAGGAGAGATTTGGAAAGATGGAAAGAGGAGGAGAGGATGAAGCTGCACGAAGAGCTAGATGGCCTGAGGCAACTCTTCCTCACAGCATTCCAGGACATGGCCAGCAGGAACAGTGCCATGGAGAAGGTATGTGAGCCCCCCACATATTCCTCAAGGCAGGTAAGAAGATGTCCAAGCCTGCTGCTTCACCTGGTCCAGGGAGCATCACAGGTTCACAGTCCCAGAGGCCTCATTTCTTTCTCCTGGGGCACGTGTCTTTTGTGGTTGGAAGCAGTGGCTGGCCAAGGTTGAGCTCTCCAGGAGGAAAGCAGATCCTCCTGTGGGATACACCGCTCCTTCCTCTCCTCACTCCAGAAACTGCAGGAGCTTCAGGCCAGAGAGGCGAAGGTGTCCAACCTGGGGACACTGCGGGATGATGACACCGAAGAGGCGCCGTGGCAGATCCCAAGACCAGCAGAGCTGCAGGGAGAGCAGGAGAGGATGGCAGTACAGGTGAGCAGTGGGATGTCCTTACCCCTACCATGCATACCAGGAGATGCGTTTGGATGGAGGTGGACCCACATCCACGCACCTCTGTCTGCATCTGCTTTGTGGACATCTGGTCTAAGCTCAGGCTCAGGTATCAATGAGCTCTTGCTGGTGTAGAGAACTGACAGTCCAAGTCCTGAAATGGGACCTGGTGCATGCAGAGGGCATGTCATGGTCCCAGGTCAGCCCTGCTTGATGCAGGGAAACCCATCTTCACTAGAGCAGTGAAGGTGCTCACCACATAGAAAAGCATTTAAAGTACCAAATAAACAAATTTATTTACCCACACATCAGCTGCCTTCTCAACATCTAAAAACATCTGAAGGCGGCTTTACCTCTGAGCATGGAGTGTGGTGGAAAAGGCACCACTGCAAAGGTACCAATTGTCCTTCAGGACCCAAAGGGAAATTGAATTTCTCTGAGTACAAATACAATCAGCTGCCCATGCCCACAGGAACCGCCCACATTGTGAAGAGGGAAAACTCCTATGTGTTTAATTTGGCAGAAGGCAGAGCAGAGACAGGCACTGGGGGGGAGCACTGGGCACAGGAGGTCCAGGTGGGTGCCAGATGTCCTTGGCAGCTCCGAGGCACCTCGCTCAAAAAAGGCTTGGATGTTTCCCTATTGGTTCTTCTCCATTTTCAAACCCCAGAGATGTTTGGTCTCTTCGGAAAAAAACAAGGGATGCCCCCTCTGCAGATCAGCCCGATGAGTGGGAGCCAGAAAGAGCAGGGTTATGCACTTGAAATGAGCCTTGGCTGGACGTCAAAGCCCAAGGCAACAGAGCATAATTATGAGGTTATTGAGGGGAAAGAATAAATGCAATGCAGTGACCAAAGCTGTGTCCTGTTGCAGCTGATGAGGAGACATGAGGTTGCCACCAGCAGACTTTGAAGCTGGCCATATATCTTCTGCAAGGCCAGATCTGCCCTTCGGAGGACATCTCAATAATGAATAAAAATCCAAAGAGCTGCCCTTGCTGGTGAAGGGAAGAGGTGGTTCCAAACCCATTTTTACCATGTTCAAGTCATCTCATTCCTTTTTTGTCCCTCTCAGTTGACGAAAGAGAACAAGACAGTCCATGCTACCTCATCCCAGGACCATGTCCATCAGCAGAGGGATGCCCTCAGCAGCCGGCTCAGGGGCCAGCCCAAGGTCACGAAGGCTCAGGAGAAGGCAAGTGAAATGAAAAAGGAGAAGAAAAGGAAAAAAAAAAAAAAAAAAAAAAAAATAGAGGCCTCAGGTTCATCAAGAGGGTTTAAGCAGCTGTTTAAGCAGCCTTGAAAGACTGGATTGAGACTAAGTCTAATTTCAAGCCCATTCTGCAATGCTTTGCTACGTTTGGCTTTTTTGCACGCATTAAACACAAAGCGTTACATGAATGTCACCGGCACAAGCCATGGCCACCAGGTGTAGATCACCAGAGCAACACTTCACATTACAATTTGGAGCATTTTTCACCTGTTATCAGATCCGTAAAAAGCACGTGGGCCATAACAGGATGCATCTGATGTGCCAGTGATCCTATTATGGAAAGGAAAGCCCCTAAGCTGACCCCTTCCAGGTATGGTCTGCTTGAGGGAAGTAGCTCTTGGGGTAGTGTATGTGCCCACTTTAGTCTCTTGCTATTTTCTGCTCCCTTTCTGAATGCATTTAGTAATAACACTTTGCAGGGAGAGGTAAAATTACCCAAAATTATAGACAAAAAAATGATCTCTGCATGATGCCCTGTCTATTTCTTTACAGATCAAGCTGCTCTCTGCAAGCAAACCTGAAGGTAATGATTGCATTTTTAAAGCTAATCAGTTCGGGTCTAGATCAGTTCTTCATTGCTAACAGCCCTTCAGACCACAAAGTCTTCTCTGTCTCCCCCTATGTGCCGTGGAGTCCTCTCCAAGGAGCTGTCTGTGTGTCCTCTCACATGAAGCCATGAAGTGGACACCTTCCAGTCCCTTGACTATCTGCTACAATGGTGTAGACCACAGCTCTGGTGGCTGGCACAAAAGTGACTTGTCTCTTGGGTGGGTTTTCACTGCAGCCATACCCCAAAGGAATGAGATTTCAGTCGAGCACTTGCAGTAAATAGATGACCTCGCCTCCTCCAAAATGATGCTGGTGGTTATTTGCATAGAAGTAAGGAGCTGAGGCACGATGTGGTTTCTTCTTTACACCCTGGGTTTTCTATAAGTGCCAGGGAAGGAAAACAGGAACTTCTCAGTTCCCTAATGCCTGTGAGAGAGCTGCAGATTCGGCCAGGTCCTTCTTCTCAGAAGACATAAAAGGCCATGAACCAGAGATGGCTATTGGAAAATACCCAAGGGGTACCCCAGCCCTGAGGGGCAGCAGAGGACTATTTTTGCCTACTGGCATCCTCCAGCTGATGGCCTTGGTGGGTGAGTGCCCCATGGTTTTCCTTGGGGATGTTCTCCAAGGGCTGGTGTCTGGCTTGGATCCCCAAAGGGGCAGGTGTGTCCATGCTTTCTGTGTAGGAAAACCAGGTGCTGACCAGCGCTTGCTTCTGTGCTGGGGCCTCGCCTCTTCTTTGACCCTCACAACCTCCTTTCTTCCCTGCAGTGACCCAGGAGGTGACCAAAGTGTTGGCTGTTGAAGAGCCATCAGGTGGGTATCAGAGTTGGGACCATCCCGGTTGTGAGAGCACCAGGATGAAGCTGACGTTTGGCTTGGGGTGTTGTGCAGTGAGGATGAGGAGTCCTGGGCAAAGCTGGAGGTGGTGAGGTGGTGGGCTGGAGGGCAGAGGGGATGTGGTCACTGGTCCCCTCTTGGCTCTGCAGACTATGACGTGCAGCCATGACCTGCTGCCAACGCTTCACCCGGGGAAGGTGTCCCAGGCAGCTGCTGGGCTGCGGGTGGGATTTTGGAAAAGTTGTGGCCAGGAATTAATCAAATTGGAAGAGGAAGTTCCCCCTTCCTAGAGGGATGTGGTCTGCTGAGAGCAACCAGTTGCTTGCTCTGGGACTGGTGGGACCCATGTCCCCAAAGAGGAGAAGGGTCCCACCAGCCCCCTTCCCAGGGCACAGCCCCTGTGTTTCTGTACTGGTACCAGCACCCATCTTTACTCCAGACTGGGAGAAGGCTGCCCGGGGTGGGAAGCAGAGGCTGCTGGAAGCCCTGAGGAGAAACCCAAACCTCCTGAAGCAGTTTCGGCCCATCCTGGAGGAAGTGCTGGAGGAAAAGCTGGAGAGCATGGGGGTCAAGAAGGTAAGTCTGCCCTTTCAGAGCCAGCATTTGCAACGTCAGCCCTGAGTCAGTGAAGGAACTGAAAGATTTGAGGAGGGGGTAGAACAGCTGAAACACTAACAGGCAGTAAAAAAAAATAACCCCCATCTGGAGCAATCACACCCTGAGGGGCAAATGGGAAGGTGGAGGCAGAATCACACAGGGAATAGATGACCATGCTCCCGTCTCTGAGGCTGGTTATTAGTATCTCTCCAGCAAATCTGTCTCACAAGCAGCCTTTCAAATGCTAAATTACCCAGGGCTCCCTCTCTTCGCGGGAAGGAAGGTGTTTGAGGGCACAGCAGCCCCTGTCACGGGGATTTCAAGGGGACTTTCAGCTTCCAAGTCCTTTTCCTGCCGAGCATATTAAATAGTGCCTCCGAGAAGTCTTCTCGAGCTCCTGGCGATGCAACACCACCACCTAGCACCTCTCGGTGAGCAGGCAGGCAGCGGGCACGGATGCTGGGGACCCGTGTTTCTGAGCAAGGCAGTGATTCTGTTTTGGGTCCTGAAGGCACAAAGAGAAAGCTGTGACCAAATGACTTCTTGTGTGATTGTTTCCTGGAGGTGCTTTTCAGCCTGGGTTCGTTTCACCCAGGCTGGAGCCCTGGCATGTCCTCCCTTTCCCCAGCATGTTATCCGGGAACACTGAGGTGGTGTCAAAAGCAGCAAGAGGTGGCCCAAAGGCAGACCCACAGGCGTATACCTCCCTCTACCCTTCATTTCTCACTGTTTTATATCTCTACAAGCCCATGACATACATGGTCACAAAACCTCCTTGAGCTGTAAATACCGCCCCCCAAGACAAAATGCTGCACTTACCCTGTAGCTTAGAAATTGTCCAGAAATTGCCCCAATTGCCTGAGATTTAGTCTTCAGCAGCAATTTACCAAAGCAGATGAGGGCTTTGCAAACGTGGGCTGTTTGCATGGGACAGGTTTTGCTGGGGAAATTATGGGTATCAGGGCTGGTAAGAGCTTCCTTCGGGTTTGGAGAGGGCTTGGAGCTTACAGGAGGCTCCTGAGATATGAGCAGTGCTGCTAAGGGCTTGTTTCACCACCCTGTGCTGTGGGAGGACATCAGGTCCCTCAGCTGTCCTCTGCTTTAGGTTGCGAAGGGGATCTCCACTCGGACCTACAAAAGCCTCCAGGCTCTGGTCAGGCTTCAGCAGCAACAGAAGGCTGAGAAATTTCCTGGTCTCCTCCACCTGAGGGATGAGTTGGTCCGAGAAGTCATGAGGAAAGTCAGGCGATGCAAGAAGCCCAGCAGTGCTTTACCTCGACAGCGCTCCATCATCCCAGGTGAAGTGGCCTCCTGTCCTCTCTACATACCGACCGTGGGGACCTGTGGCCAACCATCAATGGCCATGGGATGCTGTTCCCTTCCCAGTGACACAAGAAGACAGGCAAAGGGCAGGAAAGGGCATTTAGAGTGATGCAAGTCTCTGCAATTGCTCTCTGCATATTGCCTTCATAAGGGTTGCCCTGATGCATTCAGGAAAAAACATTAGATGTCCCCAAAAGCCCCAACAGAGTGAAATACAGGTTTTTCAGTGCTTGCAAACCCCCTTTTCACCCCTTTTTCTACATAACCCCATGTTGGGTGGGCCATGTGGCTCCCCCAGGTGTGGCCCACAGGACAACCAGGAGGTGGATGGTGATTCTCCTTGCTCTCAATACTGCCTTCCAGCTCAAAGCCTGAAGACCCCCAGGTCCCTTCGTGGGTCACAGCCCATGGCAATACCAGCTGCATTAGAGCCTGAAGCCTCGGTGGTACCCCAGCCTTCTCCTCGGAGCAGACCCCGCTCCACCCACAGCCCCCCGAGGACTCCCTGGGGCACCCTGCAGATGTCCAAAGCCAGTAGCCCCCGTCGAGGAATTGCCCCACGGCGGAGGTGAGTCCCATCACCTCCTTTCAGTCTCCAGGCAGGTGGGCAGTGCCCAAGACCCTCAGCCATCAGCCACCCCCCAAGTATTCTGGGTTCTGCCCAAATACCAGCACCTCTGGAAACTGCCAAGCAGTGGGTGATTGTGGCACCCCAGAGACATTTATTTAGACAAGGAATATCCTGGGATGTCCCTTGACCATATGGGCTGACTGAAACAGTTGGCAAAGTCAGACTTGAGGGTTTGTACCCACCATGAGGTGCTGGAGACAAACACAGGGCATTTCCCACTGGTCTTCAGCTCCTTCTTCCCCTCCCAGAACCTCCACAAGGGGATGAAGGAGTTCCCTTGGGGTTTTAGGGCAAAAAGAGTAAAGATATAAACCAAAAGCTTAGAGAAACTGTGCAGAGAAGGAATAACATGGAGAGGGTATGAGATGGCAGCAGAGAGGAAGAGGAGCTCATCTATGACCAAGGCCAGGTGAGGAAAAGGAGTTACTTGTTTGTCCCAGGAGTAAGAGAAAACCAGGTGGAGGTTTTAAACCCAAGCAAAGCAATAGTGGGGGAAGGTCTGGGTGTGGGTACTTGCTGGAGATGCTTTTGCAGCTGGTGGGTGTGATGGATCTGTCCATGTCCAAGGGGAGCGCAGGGCTTCTCCATAGGCTGCCCTGCTCAGGGCTGGATCACAGCCCAGGGCTTCCTGCACCTGCTTCAGAAGAGGGGAAGGGGGACACCAGAGCACCCCCAGGCCTGACCCACCTCTCTCTGCACCAGCCCAGAAGTGGTGCTAGGGGGGAAGAAGCCCACCCTGTCCCCGGTGAAGCTCAGCCCTTTCTCTGCAGCGGCGCAGGGGGATGAGACTGACTCTGAGGGGTCAGACCAGGACTGGCTGGAGGAAATTGCTGGTTCAGGTACTCTTCTCCCTCTTCTTGTAGCAACCCCTGCGGGTCAGCGAGGTGGTGGGGACAGCCCTAGTTACCACCATCAGTGCCACTGTGTCACCTTCTTCCCGGGGCTGAAGCGGACAAATCTTACCCCACCATCCCCCATACCCAGCCAGGCAATGGGACACTGGTGGCTTCATCCATCAGCAATTCATGTGCCCGACCCTGCCAGGGTATTTTCCCATAAATCCTGTGGCTTTCCCAAAAATCCTTTGCGCAGAAGGAAAGCAGATTGTCTAGAGGATCACAGAATCACAGAATCTTAGTGGTTGGAAGGGACCTCCGAGATCATCGAGTCCAACCACAAAAAAAAAAAAAAACAAACAAAAACAACAAAAAACCAAAAAAAAACCAAACCACCACAACCACCACAAAAACAACAAACCCAAAACCACCACCCACCAACTAAACCCCACACCCACAACCCCACACACTACACCCCACCACAAACCTATAATATTGGGCACTAGAGCATGCCCTGAAGAGCCATGTCTATACGTTTCTTAAATACCTCCAGGGATGGTGACTCCACCACCTCCCTGGGCAGGCTGTTCCAGGGCCTGACCACTCTTTCAGTAAAGTAGTTCTTCCTAATATCTAATCTAAACCTCCCCTGCCCCAACTTCAGACCATTTCCTCTGGTCCTGTCATTATTCCCTTGGGAGAAGAGGCCAACCCCCGCCTCTCTACACCCTCCTTTCAGGGAGCTGTAGAGGGCAATGAGGTCTCCCCTCAGCCTCCTCTTCTCCAAACTAAACATGCCCAGTAATGGATGCAGGGAACTCCGGGCTGTCCAACACAAGGAGGAAAGCTTGTTTTAACTGTTGGCTATGTGCTGTAAAATCTGATGGGAACCACGTATCAGGGGGGTGGGGATGACTCCTCATCCCTTGGGAGAGTTGGGGGATAGTGGGAGGCACCTCTCACCTGTCCATTACCTTCAGAGAGCAGCAGGCACTCCTTGCACGTGGCATCTGGTGTGTTCCAGGCCAAAAAGGAGCTGTTGGTGCTGTGTGACACACCACAAGCCCAGGCTGTGTGTGTGTGTGTGTGTGTATGGAGGTTCTCCACTTGTGAAGGTAGAGAAACCCCTGTGATTTCAGGGAGCCATGTCTATACGTTTCTTAAATACCTCCAGGGATGGTGACTCCACCACCTCCCTGGGCAGGCTGTTCCAGGGCCTGACCACTCTTTCAGTAAAGTAGTTCTTCCTAATATCTAATCTAAACCTCCCCTGCCCCAACTTCAGACCATTTCCTCTGGTCCTGTCATTATTCCCTTGGGAGAAGAGGCCAACCCCCGCCTCTCTACATTCTCCTTTCAGGGAGTTGTAGAGGGCAATGAGGTCTCCCCTCAGCCTCCTCTTCTCCAAACTAAACATGCCCAGTAATGGATGCAGGGAACTCCGGGCTGTCCAACACAAGGAGGAAAGCTTGTTTTAACTGTTGGCTATGTGCTGTAAAACCTGATGGGAACCATGTATCAGGGGGGTGGGGATGATCCCTTGGGAGAGTTGGGGGATAGTGGGAGGCACCTCTCACCTGTCCATTACCTTCAGAGAGCAGCAGGCACTCCTTGCACGTGGCATCTGGTGTGTTCCAGGCCAAAAAGGAGCTGTTGGTGCTGTGTGACACACCACAAGCCCAGGCTCTGTGTGTGTGTGTGTGTGTATGGAGGTTCTCCACTTCTGAAGGTAGAGGAACCCCTGTGATTTCAGAGAGTGCTGGGAGATACAGTTTAGTGATGGTGTTTTTTGTTTGTTGTGCGGGTGTCTATTTTTGTCAAAGTTTGGCTGACGGTTGGACAACATGATCTTTGAGGTCCCTTCCAACCTAGAAGATTCTGTGATTTATTCTCTGCATAAAACATCTCCTTCCTGAAACAGCTCCTTGGGGATGCTTAGTGCTGGGGAGTCTAAGCTATTTAGAAAACAACTTGGGCTGGTGGTCCCCTCCTTTCTCACCCATCACCTTGCTCTGGGGCTCCCTGTTTAACTCGTTCTGCCCTGCACAGGGACAGCCACCTCCACCACGGTGAAGCTCTTGGAGAGACACCTGGAAGCAGTGGCACGGAGACCACATGGCAGGGTGAAAAGCCTCCCAGCCCTGAGCTCAGCATTGCCAAAAAACAGCCAGCCCACCAAGAAATTCCACTGGTGGTCCCCTCCTTTCTCACCCATCACCTTGCTCTGGGGCTCCCTGTTTAACTCGTTCTGCCCTGCACAGGGACAGCCACCTCCACCACGGTGAAGCTCTTGGAGAGACACCTGGAAGCAGTGGCACGGAGACCACATGGCAGGGTGAAAAGCCTCCCAGCCCTGAGCTCAGCATTGCCAAAAAACAGCCAGCCCACCAAGAAATTCCAGGTACCTTGTGCAAATGGCCACAGGGATGCTTTCTGACACAATTTTAATTATTTTTTTTTTTAAAAAAAGGCACATCACACCCTCTTCTGAGCATCTACCCATCAGCAGTGCCATGGGGCATAGTCTGTGTGCAGGGGGTTCAAACTTACAGCAGCAGAGACGTGGCCCTCGGCCCCTTCATCCAGTTACAGACATCTGTCCTTCCCCTAATGTTTGTCTGTTCACCCTCTTTGCGGGGGGGAAAAAATCAGTATTCATGCAATTGGGAGCAAAACAGTAAGTGTCGGAGAATCAAATTGAGAAAAGGTCCCTGGAACAAATCCAGAGATAATTGGAGTGATGCAATGGTGAAATTATTAAATTATTAAAACAGGACTTAAACATAACCTCAATTTATGGGGGAGAGCTGATGTAATTAAAGTGGTTGCGGTGTCAGAATCAAATTGCTTTTTTAAAAAAAAAAAATGTCTAAAAAGATTTTACCCAAGGAAGGCCTAGCACAAATACTGGGAGGATTTTTTTTGGCTTTTTATTTTTTTTTCTTATTGCAATGACAAAGAAATTCTAGGTCTTCATCTGGCAAAGTTTAAAAAGTAATTAAAAAAAAAAAAGTGAAGTATGAGGTTTATGGGAACACTTGCAAGCCACGGAAACAGAGAAAGGGTCTCCTGCGTGGTGCAACCATGTTTGGCCCTCTTTGCTCTCATTTTTACATCAATCTGATGGAGACTAAATCCCTGTTGATAGGGAGCAAGGGGGGGCCCAGGGTGCAAATATGGGGTGTGGGTCTGGCCCTGCTGCTCCCCTTCACCCTCTCTCCATTCCTCCCCAGTTTGCAGGTGACAGCAGTGACCTGGAGACCTCCTCCTTGGAGGACCTGGCCAGGCCACCAGAGCTGAGGGCTGCTGATGTTTGGGGGACCACCAGGGCCCTGGGGAACCCCTCTGCAAGGGGATGCAGGGTGGTGGCAGGGAAGTGACAGTCCTCTGCCAGCAACCACTGGATGGTGCCACAAGACCAGAAACGGGCAGCAGCCGCTCTGCAGCCCTCCCAGGGCTGCTCCTGGGCTCCAGCCACCTCTCTTTTGGGGAAGAACCTAATACTGGGGCTCTCCCAGATAGCTCAGGGGGGGGTTGGGTCCTCCCTGGCCAGCTGCTGTGGATGGGATCAAGGAGGATAAATGCTGTGCCGTTTGAAAAGGAAAGGTTTCTGCTTTCCCTTCAGGGAAAAGCTCCTTCTCCTGTTCCTCCCACAGGAGCTGTGACATGGCATCTGATGGTGCCATGAGCTTTCAGGGCCCCCACAGACCTCCCTGGACTTCCCATCCCCATGGGCTGGGGCCAACTCTCCACGTCAGACACAGCCCCACACTTGTGTGTGTGGCTTTTTTATTCTTTAAGCAGTCCTTAAAACAGTCAGGGAGGGGAGAAAGCAGCTTTCCTTCTCACTGCATCTCTTTTTGCCACTTCTGCGGGTGATGGAAAAGATCTTGTTTTCTGCTTTGTGGGATGAACCTGGACCGAATGTGCTCGACCAGAGTAACAAGCCCCAGGGGCTGTCTCCTTCCTCCTTTCCTTCTTGAATCAGTGGAAACTCCAACCCAAAGGATGATTTTTTTTTTTTTTTTTTTCTGTAAATGTGACCACATAAGCCTGACTCCTTTGATAACACTCATCTGTGTAAATTAAATTAATTTTCCTAATTCCCTCTGGGTTATGTACACTTGTAGCAGCGCATTTATGATCTTGATCCCCTAAATTTATTAAATTTTGGAAAACACAACAGGAAAAACTGGCACTTCTCAGTTTCTCTTCTCTTTCCCAACCCACTGCACCACGGGTGGGAACTTCTGCCATTCCCTATTTTAACATTTGCCTGTGGATTTTAATGCCTGGGAGCGGGAAGCCCAGCCAGGGTTGAGCAGAGCAGGCTCAGTTCATTTCAGCTCACCGAAGAGCAAAAGTGCCTTCCAGAAAACTCTCCCCAAACATGTGGAAAACCCTCCATATTTTTTAAATCCCCATGTCCTCTGGTACGTGCACATTCACCTGGGGGCTTACACCCACCTACGCGGCGTGGCTCTGTAGCTGCACACCTCAACAAGGATTTTTTCCATTTTAACCATTCAAGTTTAAGCACTTTACCTGGCTTGTGTTATTCAGATGTGTTACCTCATGCTTAATTTAGGGGCTTCTCGGCGAGTGTCGTCGATCATGACAAACACTGCTTTTAATAAATGAAACGAAGGAGGGACGTCGTCACCCCTTTTGGAGAACTGGTGTTGGTAACCAGGAAAAAAGAAATAAGCCTTACATCTGTCAGAAATTACAGGAGGAGGTAGCAGCAAGGATTTTCTCCTTGGGGAGGGGTGATAGGAAACCTGTCCCAGCTCCTGCACCCCTGCCCTGGCTGCCTGCCGTGCAGCAGGCTCCGGTGCTGGCACAGTCCGAAACCAATGGGGAAACAAACTTCTGCCCCAAAGAGCAAACAGGTAGGAAAAGGGGCAGAAAAGAGCAGCCTGTTTCGCCTTGACTACGTGGCAAGCTGGGTGCCAAGGTGGGCACCCTGCCCAGCGCTAAGAACCTCCATCGCACCCGTTCTGCCGGTGGCTGACCAAACCCTGCCAGCCCCAGGTCCAGCTGCTCTTCTGCTCCTGCACGTATCGACCTGCTGACAACTGCAGGAACCACTCTTATATTAGTTTTACCAGCAGTTTTCACGCCTGAGGGGCTCCTGAGCCATCGCAGTGAACTTCACACACTCACCACCAAGTCCAGAAAGGTGGGACCAAACTTCCCCTAAGTTTGGGGAACTCCAAAAATAGCTGATAGCCTTGTGCTAAGAGAAAGGTGGCGCTCATACTCTAACAAATAAATAAATACAGATACAGACAAAACATTTTTTATTTCAGACAGGACATCTTGAGCCAGAATGTTCCGTGGGGAGTTGTTCTCTGCGTGCTGTGAACCGCGTGGCAGAGGATGCGTGGTGGGCACGGAGGAACCATGAAGATTCACCTTGGGTTATCCCAGGTGATGAAGAGGAGGGGGAGAAGCGGCTCCAACCATATCAACTCCATCAATGTATTTTGTTGAGAAAAGAAAATTTTACTCAATTTCCACCCACCATTGTTTTAAGGTCTCCATCCTCAGACCAAGCAACTGCTTGTGTAGCCCCTCTTTAGACCACTGTCCTTTTCTTGACGACACCAACTGGGCCACATTGCCAGTACCTGGTTTTTATTTTCCTCCCTCCAATTTTCCAACTTTGTCCTCAGTTCAGCACAGCATGGAGAGTTTTCCATGGTCTTTAACAATTGCTGAAACCTCAGATCTTCTACCCACCAGAGGTGTCTCCTTTGGCTTCGTCCTCTCTGGAGTCTCTGGGAACAGTAAAACACGTTCAGAGGCAGCAGCATAGAGAGAATTGGGTGATTTGATGAGGGAGAAGCCATGCCAACCAGGGTTTCCCTCTGAAAAAGGGACTTCTTTTGCTCCGCCATGGTAAATTGAGGGTCCAAAGAGAAACCTGAGGTTAATTTTAAGAACACTATTCCAGCTGATGCCTGCACAGCCACCTTCCAGCATGGAGGAAGTGTGACAGAGCGGTACCATTTAGGGTACCCCATGGGGCAGAAGCATGACCCCCCCCTTCCCGGGGGCACAGCCACACTGAAACCGGTGGTCAGACCCTCGCCAGGAGTTTAATGCCATTGGAGTCTCATGTTCTTTAAAATCTTTGTTTTTCTCAATGGCCTTTGTCTTCCTGGGGCTCCATTGATGGGTAATACTTTGATAAAGCATGAGTATGTGTGGGACAATTAGTAGATAATCAAACCCCAGCACTAACAATCTCTGAATGCAACGCAGCTCTCCCAAATAATACCAAGCTGAAAAAAAATAAAGGAAAAGAAAAATCCTGTCAAATTTATTCAGCTGGAATATCTCACCCAGAGAGCTATTCTCCCATAATATTTGGGGCAAGCACAGTGTCATAAATCTTAGTGCTATTAATCCGTAGACTCATTCATCTCTGTTCAGCTATATAAAAGCAATAACCTTGTCACTATAGGAAGGAAGATTGGGCTTTTAATTGCATATAGATTTCAGGAGAGTTCTTATCTCATAGTCCAATTTGTAGCTTCAGATATGGGTCTTTGCTTCCCTTGGTCAAAGTCCATGCAAATCTGCCGTGCTCTCATATACTTATAAGTGTTGCAGAAGCTCAGAAAGAACCTACATAGAGCTCTGCTGGCAGATAATACACACAGCCTTTTCAGCGTTTGCTTTATTAGACAAGCCTATATTTAATTATCTCCTCTGAAACAGGATATGCATTTTTTCAGAGGACGATCAAATTTATGGAAACAAAATGATTTCTGAGTGCACACACGCACACACACGTCTCCAATCACGCTTTCCCTGACTCATCTCCCTTGGCTCTGCGAGTTCTACCCAATGCATCCTTTGCCCACCAGTTTATTGTCAATAAAGACAAAATAATTGGCGTGGGGTCTTCCATCCCTCACCAGTAACAACCGCAGGAGGAACCATTCGATCTATCCACGGGGCCAAGAGATCTGCAGTACCTGGGCTCCCATTATTCCCAGTCTTTCCTCAGCCAGAGCCTTCCAGAGGCACTAACCTCCTTGGTGCTATGCAGTTGGTCAAACCAGCAAGCCCAGTTCAGCCCAGCAAATATTTAACTGCTCCTCCCAAGGGGCAGCCAGGCAGGATGATGAGGGCTCTGCTCTGAAAGCCACCTTACCCTGCCTGCGGGGTGACCACCTGCATGAGTTTCAGAGCCTAAAGTCACACCTTTAGGGTAAAGTGCTGGGGACCCAGGGTGGGATGCAGAGGCTATGTTTGCTGTCCCCAGGGCTCTCCTCAGGCAGCATATGGGCTGGGTGTCCCCTCTCCCTGTGCAGCTGGGACTGTGGGCTGTGGACGTGGCACAAAGGTTTGTGTCCTCTGCGTGTGGGCATTGGGAGATATCAACACTGGAACACAACAAGTTGCCCCCAAGGCATCATTGGGTCACTCTGTGAGGGCTTTTGAGTCTTGCTTCTTCCTCAAAGTCCAAGAAATAATCAGGGTATCCTCATGTATTATTTTTTTAGCCTGGGGGGATCCAGAGGAAAGCCTGGCAACGGGCACTTTGTTCTCACTAAACACCCAAGCAGGTGGTTTCAGCTGCAGAGCTTTTAGGAGAAAGATGAGTTCAGCTTGAAAAGGGGATATTTGGGTGGGTGTCCCAAGGCAAGGAAACCACCAAGTGGTTTCAGCAGCAGGAACCGCAGCTCCATGGCTGCAGATGCTGGTCCTCCCCACTCCATCATTCCCCCGACACATGATGCTCACTGATCATGGAGGTGCCCACCACGAGATAAGGTCTGTGATGGCCAGAAAAAGAGGGGAAGCAGCCATAATATCAGCTGTTTTTACACAGAAAACAGGCTCATAAATAAATGATTCTCTGCTTCGGAATTTGATTATTTCTTTTTTCTTTTTTTTTCAGTAAGGTTTCCTGTGTTAAAATTTTTCATACCGCAAGTTGTTGGCCGAGGTAAGGAAATGAAATCCGATGTTGGAAGATTAGAAATATGGGGAGGGCAGGAATTCCCGGATACAGCTCTGTCTCAGCTCTCTGCTGCTCTCCTGCCCGCAATCTTGTCATCTACACGCTTGCACACATCAAAGTGAAACCGAGCGATAGCTGGCTCGGTGGGTTTGTCAGAGTATTTGTGTTGCATAAAAATAAAAATGTAGCTTTCAAAGGCGCTTCCTCGCGATTTGATGTGCACGCCTGTTTTTGTCCTAATGCAGTCAGAAACTTGCATTTCAATTTTCTGTGGGTGTTTTTCCTGTGTTTTTCATCACCCTGTGTACCTTTACCTAACCACCACTTACACATTTCCTATCTAAATTAAACATTCCCGTGCTTTTTCAGCCCCTTTCCAGGGGAGGCTGGCAGGAGTAA